GGTCTAGATGTCTGTCCCGATGCCAATACCACCCTCTTCTGATTACTGTACCTTTGTGGTGGGTTTGGAAATCAAGAAGTGTGAGTCCTTTCACCTTGTCCTTCTTTTTCAAGATTGTTCTGACTATTCAGGGTTCCTTGAAATTCCATATGAGTTTTAGGTTGGATTTTTCTATTTCCGCAAAAAACACTGTTGAGAGTTTGATAGCGATTGCATTGCATGTGTAAATCTCTTTGGATAGTACAATCACGTTGATAATATTAATTCTTCCAAACCATGGACATAGGATGTCTTTCTGCTAATTTGGGTCTTGTTTCATTTCTTTCAGCAATGTTTTTCAGTTTCCAGTGTCCGTGTCTTTCATCTTTTGGGTTAAATTTATTCCTATTCTTTTTGATGCTATTATAAATGGAATTGTTTTCTTAATTTTCTTTTGGGATTGTTCATTGCTAATATATAGAAGCACAACTGATTTTTGTGTGTTGATTTTATATCCTGCAACACTGCCGAATTTGTTGGTAGCTCTAACAGGGTTGCTGTTGTTTTTGTGGATTCTTTCGGAGTTTCTACAGACAAAATCATGTCATTATGAACAGAGATAATTTCATTTCTTATTTTCCAATGATTTCTTTCTCTTGCCTAGTTGCTCTGGCTGGAACTTCCAGTACTGTGTTGAATAGAAGTGGCAACAGCAGGCATCCTTGTTTTGATTCTAATCTTAGGGGGAAAATTTTCAGTCTGGGGCTGGCCTCGTGGCCGAGTGGTTAAGTTCGCACGCTCCACTGCAGGCGGCCCAGTGTTTCATTGGTTCGAATCCTGGGCACGGACATGGCACTGCTCATCACACCACGCTGAGGCAGTGTCCCACATGCCACAACTAGGACTCACAACGAAGAATATACAACTATGAACTGGGGGGCTTTGGAGAGAAAAAGGAAAAAAATAAAATCTTTAAAAAAAATTTTCAGTCTTTCTCCACTGTGTATGATGTTACCTGTGGCTTTTTCATACATGGCCTTTATCATGTTGAGGAATTTCCCTCCTATTCCTAGTTTATTGAGTGGTTTTCATCATAAAAGGTGTTGAATTTTGTCTAATTCTTTTTAATGTGCCCCATGGACATGAATGTAAAAATAATAAAATATTAGCAAAACAAAGCAAACAATATGTAATAAATGATAATACGTCATGATCAATTTGGTTTAACCTAAAAAATTCAAGACTGTCTTAACAACAAAAAACCAATCTAATTAATCTATCCTATCAAGAGAATAAAGAAGAAAATAGTTTGATTACCATAAAAGATGCAGAAAATGCATTAAGCAAATTTCATCACCCATTCCTCATAAAACTCTCATCAAATTAGTGATAGAAGAGATCTTCTTCATTCTGATAAACAGTATCTATGAAAACCCTACAGTTAACATGATACTTAATAGTGAGAGACTAAATGTTATCCCTTTAAGCTTGGGAATAAGACAGGATTTCTGTTCTTAATGTTTCTATTCAATGTTGTACTAAAAGATTCAGCCAGTGCAATACAACACGAAAAAAAATTCATGTATTGGAGAAGAAGAAATAAAACAGTCTTTATCTGCAAAATACCTAACAGTCTATGTAGAAATCCTAAGGAATCTACAAAAAGGAAAAAACAGAAACTAGGACTAAGAAGTGAATTTATCAAGGTCGCAGGATAGAAGGGCAATAAAAAAAAGTTGAATTTCCACATATAAGCAATAAATAACTGGAAAATGAAGCTTAAAAGCCAATACAATTTACGATATAAAATACTAAGAAATAAATTTAACAAAATTTACGGAAGACCTGTACACTAAAAGTTACAAAATATTGCAGAGACAAGTTAAAGAAGGTCTAAATAAATGGAGAATTATACCTTAATCTTGGATCAGAAGACTCAGTAATGTTCAGAAGTCAACTTTCCCTAAACTTATCAGACACGATGAAATCCCAATCAAAATCACAGCAGATGTTTTTGGTAGAAATTAACCATTTTATTCTAAAATGTATGAGGAAAAATTAAGGACTTAGATTTGATGTAATTTGGTAAAACAAGAACAAAATTGGAGAACTTTTGCTGATTTTAAGATTTACTATACTTGGGCCAGCTCAGTGGTGCCGCGGTTAAGTTCTCACGTTCCGCTTCAGCAACCCAGGTTCGCCGGTTCGGATCCCGGGTGCGAACATGGCGCCGCTTGGCAAGCCATGCTGTGGCAGGCGTCCCACATATAAAGAAGAGGAAGATGGGCACAGATGTTAGCTCAGGGCCAGTCTTCCTCAGCGAAAAGAGGAGGATTGGCAGCAGTTAGCTCAGGGCTAATCTTCCTCAAAAAACAGAAAAGATTTACTATAAAGTTTCACTCATCGAGATAGTGTGATATTGGTATCTTGGTGTAGGAGTAGACATAGATTGGTGGGACATAGTAGACATAGATTGGTCACTGATTTTCTACAAAGGTAACAGTGTAATTCAATGTGGTATCTACACCAGAAAAGATTAACTTGAACCCCTACCTCACACCATGCACAAAAATCAACTCAGAATGGCACCTGGACCTAAATGTGAAAGCTAAACTTTATAAAACTTCTAGAAGAAACCATAGGAGAAAATATTTGCCTGCTTAGGAGAGGCAAAGATTTCTTAAGACACAAAAGCATTAATCCTAAAAGAAAAAAATCAATAAATTGGATTTCATTAAAATTTAAAACTTCTGCTCTTCAAAAGGCAACGTCAGAAAAATTAAGTCATGCCAAAAGTTGAAGGAAATATTCGCAATCCATGTATTTAATGAGGAACTAGTCTCCAGGGTCTAGAGAGCTCAATAATTAATTAAAAGACAAATAACCCAGCAAAAAATAGGCGAAAGCCTTGGACACTTAGCAAAAGAAGATATATGAATGGCCGTAAGCTGATGAAAAGATGTTCAATGTTTTTAAACATGAGGGAAAGAAATTAGAACCACAATGAAACACCGATACACACCCACGAGAACAGCTAAAATTAAAAAGAGTGACAATATCAAGTGTTGGTCGATGTGGAACACCACCTGCCTGGCACCAAACTGGAAATCATTCAAACACCCATCAGGAATAGAATGGAGCAGGCTGGCCCGGTGGCCTAGTGGTTAAGTTCAGCACACGCTGCTTCTGGCAGCCTGATCTGTGGGTTTCGATCCCCAGCGTGGACCTCCACCACTTGTCAAACCAAGCTGCAGCGGCAACCCACATACAAAACAGAAGAAGATTGTCACAGATGTTAGCTCAGGGCCAATCTTCCTCAGCAAAAAGAAAAAGAAGAAGAAGAAGAATGGATCAATAAATTCTGGCAAGTTGCTCCAATGGGATCCTGCAGAGTAATGAGAACGAGCACACTACTGCTTTGCACAACGTGGATGAATCTCACAAATGTGATCTTGAGTGAAAGAAGACAGAAACCAGAGTCGTTATAATGTCACATTCCAATTACTGTTTTCCCTCCGTATTCGCCAGGGCTTGGTTCCAGGACCCCCGCGGATACCAAAATCCACGGACGCTCAGGTCGCTGATGTAATAAAACAACGTAGTATTTGCGTATAACCTACCCACATCCTTCTGTCTGCTTTAAATCATCTCTAGATTAATTACAACATCTGACACAAGATAAATGCTATGTAAACAGTTGCTTTGCTGTATTGTTTACGGAATAATGACAAGGGAAAAAGTCTGCGCATGCTCGGTACAGACGCGACCCGGTAGACAGCAGCTGGGAGCGCTTGCGGTCTGGTTGGGGTTCGATTCCCGGCCCCTGCCTCTAACACACTGTCCCCCAGCCGGTGCCTATTCTGAGCCAGCTTCCTGCCTGAGATAAACAACCCGTCCTCCCAGGGCCCGGGGGACGGTGCCAAGAGATTCTGTGTGTTTAGACACACGCGGGGAGCACCTCGCACACAGCGGACACCCGGTAAACAGCGGCAATCCTGCCCCAGCCCCACAGCCAGAAAAGAGGCTGGGATGGGAAGGCGTCTCACTCTGAGTCCGAACAGCTCCTGTTTTCCCAGCTCTTCCCCGTCGGTCAGGACCAGTGCCGGATGCATCACGTGACCTTTCCGCTGAGCCCTCCCAGCCCCGCGGGCTCCCAGGGGTGGGTGGCTGCTGTAAGAACCTGGGGTGTGCAGGTGGGGTCCCACCCCTGGCACTGGTTGGGTGGTGGCTTCGGTTGTATTCTTCCCCCGCCTGGGCCTCTGTTTCCAAGTCTGCAAGTTTGTGGAGCAGGGGCACCAAGTGAATCCTTGCGAGTATGGTACTTGGCATGCAGTCGGCACTAAATTAATGCTGCTGTTAGGACCCTTTCCCTCATTTTACAAAAGTGGAAACTGAGGCTCCGAGTAAGGTCAGAGCTTCTTGGCAGACCAGGAAAATGATTGCCATCTAGAAAAAATGGGGGGCTGGCCCCGTGGCCGAGTGGTTCATTTTGCACGCTCCGCTTTGGCAGCCTGAGGTTTGCCAGTTTGGACCCTGGGCACGGACCTACACACCGCTCATCAGGCCATGCTGAGGCGGCGTCCCACATAGAACTAGAAGGACTTACAACTAGGATAGACAACTATGCACTGGCGCTTTGGGGAGGAAAAAAAAGAGGAAGATTGGCAATAGATGTTGGCTCAGGGCCAATCTTCCTCACCCCCCCAAAAAAAAGGGGGGGGGAGGGGCACAATATTCCTAATAACCAAAAAGTAAAAACAACCTAAAGGTCCATCCATTGATACATGGATAAATAAAATGTGACCCATCCGTAGAGTGGAATATTATTTGACAATAATAAGAAATGAAGTCCTGACATATGTGGCAACATGGATGAAAGTCGAAAACATCATCAAGTGAAAGAAGCCAGACACAAAAGACCACATATTTATTCATAATATCCAACATACAGAAACAACCTAAATGTTCAACAGACAAATGGATAAAGGAAAAGTGGTACATCCATACAATGGAATATTATTCAGCCCTTAAAAAGGAAGGCAATCCTATGATTTGTAACGACATGGGTGGACCCAGAAGACATCATGCTAAGGGGAGCAAGCCAGTCACAGAAGGACATGGGCTGCACGAGCTCACTTAGACGAGAGGTCGAAAACAGTCAAAGTCGCAGAAGCAGAGAACAGAATAGGGGTTCAAGGGCCTGGGGGGAGGGGGGACGGGAAGTCGTTTGACGGGTGCGAAGTCCCAGTCATACAAGATGAGTAAGTTCCTGAGATGTGCCGGACAACATCATGCCTGTAATTAATAATACTGTGTTGTGCAGTTAAAAATGTGTAAGGAGAGTAGATCTGATGTTAAATGTTCTTGCCACACACACACGCACACACAAGACCACATATTCTGGGATCCATTTATACGAAATATCCAGAAGAGGCAAATCGACAGAGACGAAAAGCAGACCCGTGGTCCCCAGGGCCTGAGGAGGACAGAGGGTTTGGGGGATGATGGCTAAGGGGTGCAGGGTTTCTTTTCGGGGTAACGAAAATGTTCTAAAATGGACTGTGGCGATGGTTGCACAGCTCTGTGAATATACGGATGGCGACTGAATTGCACACTTCAAATGGATCAATTGTCTGGTGGGTAAATTATATTTCAATAAAGCCGTTTTGACATGGGGCACTAAAATCTGTAAAGGACACTGCCAACCTGAGGTTAATCCGTCTGTAATTAAATGCCTACAAACCACAACGTGTTCGTGCCTCCACCCCTCTCTTGTATGTCAATGACATTGAAAGTGTCATTTGGGGAGTTGAAGTGAGGAGGGTACATCCTCTGGACATCTCACCTTGTCCCAGGCAGAGAGAGGTTAAGCAGTTCCCTAGAGAGGAACAGGAACCACAGCCCAGAGAGGGTCAGCTTCCTGCCCAGGGTCACACAGCCCCGGGGCTCCAAAAGTCCTGAGTCCCCACCTTCCCGAGTTCAAATGTGCGTGCGTGAGGTTCCAACCCCAGCCCCAAGGCTGACCCCTGGCTGCCTCCTTCCCATTTCTCAGGGAAAAAAAGAACCATGCCAGGAAGCATCCATCATAGGCTGTCCAACTGGGCCGGAGGGGCAGAGGTCAGCAGGGAGGTGACCTCAAGGACTCCGTGGGGACCAGGATCCGGCAGGGCTGGGGGTGAGAAGGTGGAATGTTTCCCACCCTGAGATTTTTTCCTGTGTCAACCCAGGAGGGCGCCCTGGATGCTGCTGGCCCTGCCCCCCACCTCCTTCCTCTCTTGACACGGCTTCCCGGCTGAGGATGGATGGGAAGGGTGTGCCAAGGTGGAACCGCTGGGCCTAGAAAAGGACAGGCGCTTAGGGAATGACAAAGTGAGGGACCCTGGCTCGGAGCGGCCAAGGGCCTGCCCTGGAGGCATGCAGCCCGGGCCCTCCGTGCGAATGGGGCGGCCGGGCTGCCCCTGGCCCCGCGGGGCCCTCTGCAGCCTCCACTGCCCAGCCCAGGAGTTGGACCCTGGCCCGGCCTTGGGCGTGTGAGAAGCCCTTGGCCCTGGGCCCTGCCTTGGTCTTTCCTCCCCCCACACACTGGGGACTCGGCCCTTCCTTGTGTTAAATAGAAACCTCTTTATTCTAAGTATCGTACATTTTTTAATACATTGGAGTGGGGCCAGACCTTGAAGGGAGGGGAAAGGGGGGGGGCCCGGGATATTTCTAGAGTCTTCCAAAATGCTACCCACCACACGCTGGGCTGGGGAGGAGGTGCTAAGGACGAGCTTCGTGGCCTTGGGGAAGTCTCTGCTCCCTCTGGCTTCTGTTTCTCTTCTGCACGGGGAGCGATGGGCGAGGGGACCTCAAAGGAACTTTTCATCCCGGGGGTCTGTGGTCCCAGGCACCGAGTCAGTAAGGGGCCGTCCAGGAGGGCGGTTTGTCAGCAGCAAAGACGGGGGAGGCACTGAGGCGGGGAGGTTGCTGGGGGCATCTCAGCGTTGGGCCCGGGGCCGGGATGCAGAGGGGGACCGGGGCCGGGGCAGACAGGCCAAGCTGGGCCTGGCCAGCCGGGAGAGGGGGAGGCGGCCCAGGACAAGAGGGAGACTGAGGCAGAAAGGCGGGCGGGGTACGGGGATGTCAGCGAAGAAGACCCGGTCGCGGGGGGGTGACGAGGCTCCCTCTTCAGACAGTTCCAGGTCCCGGGCCACCGCCAGGATCTCGTGGCGGGCGGCTGTGTTGCAAAGGCCACGGATGTCAAGGAGGGCCGCCACATGCTTCCGCCTGGGGCAGAGGAAGGAACAGGTGCCTGGGGGTTCGGTGCTTCAGACACAGGCCCAGCCCCCCGGGGACCCCGCCTCAGAACCCGCCTCAGCTCTGGAGTCCCTTTGTCCCCCCAGATCCCTCCTAATACCAGTCCCCCTCAAATTCCTCCCCTCACCAGCCCCCCTGGCTCCCTCCTTTCATATCAGCCCCCTCTTCTTGCACCAGGCTCCCCTCCGGTGTCTCCCTTCACAGCAGCCCCCCCAGACCCTCCCCTCATACGAGCTCCCCTCCAGAATTGGCTTCCGACCATTTCTAACACCTGCCACCCACAGTCGATTCCAGAACCCTCACCTCCAACCCCAGCTCAGGAATCTTTCCTTTTACCCCAGTCTTGGCTCCTGATTAAAATAATCTTCAGCCTTCACCCCCAACCTTAGACAGCCCCTAAATTTCCATTCTGGTCCCCTCACTCCTGGTTAAGCTCTGGAATACAGCAGCCCTGGACTTCATCTTCACTTTCATCTCAAACGGCCCCACCATCACCACTCGGACCCAGCCCAGATGTGCTCGCCCTTGTTCCCATCCTAACGCAGTCCTCGCCCCAAGCCCAATTCTGGAAGTTTCTCCACCACTGCAGTGCCAGTGGCCTCATCCAAAACTCAACATCGCTCAGCCTATGGGCCGGCCCAGTGGCACAGCGGTTAAGTGCGCACGTTCCACTTCTGCAGCCCGGGGTTCGCCGGTTTGGATCCCGGGTGCAGACATGGCACCGCTTGGCAAGCCATGCTGTGCTAGGCGTCCCACATATAAAGTAGAGGAAGATGGGCACGGGTGTTAGCTCAGGGCCAGTCTTCCTCAGCAAAAAGAGGAGGATTGGCAGTAATTAGCTCAGGGCTAATCTTCCTTAAAAAAAAAAAAGAAGATCGCTCAGCCTAGATCTCATTCTAGAACCTTCATCCCCAAATTCGGCCTCAGAACACTCGTTTACTTTCCCCTCCCACCAAGCCGCAGAATGGTGCTGGACCAAAATTCTACTCCAGAACTGGAACTCACCTTGGGGACCCTCACCCCAAACAAAACCAACTGTACCCCACAACCCTCGCCCCTAAATCCAACACAATGGGACCTTCCCCGTCGCCGCTTCAGCTCAAGACCGCAGGTCTAAAACTCAACTCCAGAACCACCACCACATTCCAACGCAAGATGCTGAGCCCAAGCGTCCTCTCCCGAACTTGCAAACACAGCCTGGGGGCCCCCACTACTCCCTCCAGCCCAGCTGGGCGTCTTCGCCCTCCCCCATACCGGCTTGAGAAGCCCCATGGCTCCAAGACATGCGCGTCCGCAGGGTGTGGCTCAAGAACCTTCCGGCTCAACCAAGCTCCCAAACACGGCCCCAAACCCCGCTTTGGAGCCACTCCTCCCAGCCCAGCTCGAGCTCCAAAGGGGGCTTCAGATTCAAGTGCAGAAGCCCCACTCCAGCAGGAGTGCTGGGGTCCCCCCGCTCTCAGGGGACTCCAGGGCTCTGTGCCTTGCCAGGGACGGGAGCCCCACACCCTGGAATCAGAACTGTGCATCCGGAATCAACCCCAGGAGGCTCACCCTCCGCCGCTGGCCCTCCGCCCTGGAGCTTGAAACCCCACTGAGGCCTCCCTCCCGGCGCATGGGGTTCCGTCTCTCTGAGTACAGAACGTCTATCTGCCTGAACAGCACTGCATGACTGCCACCGCTGCCACCACCATCCAGCATTTACGGGTGGCAGTGGGGTGTGGTGGTCACGTGCACCAGCTTTTGAGCCAGCCTGCTGCCTGGGTTCAAGTCCAGGCTTTGCCACCGCCTAGCTGTGACATTCGGGGTGAGCTACTTAATTTCTGCCTGCCTTCCGTGACGCCAGCCACTTAGAACAGCACTGCCCTTTACTTGCGTATGTTTTCTGAAATAACTTTTCTTATAGGTCCTGCTTATAGAGTGGGTGTGTAAGGTGATTTCTTAGGTCTGAGCTAAGGACTCGACCAACAAGAACTGGCATTGTTACGGTTGTCACCATTGATGATGATGATGCATCCCTCAATAATCCTATGAAAAGAATAGATCGTCCCCTCACGGAACAGATGAGGAGACTGAGGTTCAGAGCGGACCGCTGAGAAAGGAAATGGCCCACCAGGACCGGAAGGGCGCCTGCCGCCGTCTCAGTGCGTGTGCGCCCGTGTGCCCGTGCGTGTCCCCGTGTCCCCCGCGGCTTCCCTGCCGGGCCGGCCCTTCCTGCCGCCGGGCGGTCCCGCGCCCCCCCCCCACCCCCCGCCCCTGCCCTGGGCTTCCTGTGACTGCCTGTTTGTTTGCGAGCCCTGGTGGCGGCGGGCGGCGGCGGCAGCGGCGGCGGCGGCGGGAGAAGGAGGGAAATCGTATTAATAATGCCCTGGTTCCAGCAGGAAACGGCCGTCAGACACGCTCGCCGCCCCCTCTCCCTCGCCCAGGAGGCAGGAAACGCAGGGACTGCTGCCAAGGCCCGCTGGGAGGAGGGGGGGGCGCGGAGGGCAGGCCGCGTTGGGGGGGAGCTCTCACCTGATGTCTGGGTAGTCCCGCACCAGCACCCCCACTTCCACCTGGATGCTGGGCGTGTCTTCCAGCTGCAGGACTTCGGCCAAGTGGGGCACCACGGCGTCCAGCCAGGAGGCCTGGGACTCCTGCAGGAGAGGGCCCGCGCTGGCACTCGGCCCCCGGTACATGCTCCCCCCAAACCACACCCTCCCAAGGCCCGGCCCCTCCCGGCCTCAGTGGTCTCGTCTGTAAAACCAGGCAGAGGACAGACTGTCCTCAGAGGTCACCTGGAACCTTTGGAAATTTGAAGAAATACCCATGATATCATCTACTCCCAGTTTTGCAGATAATTTGGGGCTGGGGACACCCCTCGGGTCGTAGCCAAGTTTGCAAAATGTTACCATTGGGGGAAACTGCCTAAGGAGCCGTCTCTCTGCCTTCTCAAGAAAATTTCCAAAAAAAAAAAAAAAACATTCCAAGGACTCCAGGCTAGAAACTCCTGGAATAGCGGCTGAGCGAGGCCCTTCCGGTGCCGCTGATCACACTGGCACAAATAAGCGCTAGTGACTTTAAAGTCTTGGGTTTGGGAACATTAAGACTCCAAGTTTCTGGGGCATTTGGCTTCTAGGTGGGCTCACCTAAGAGCTAATGTTTCTGGAATGTTCTCTCTGGGCCAGCTAGGGTCCTAAGCACTTAAAGGGACTTAAGTGATGGAACCCCACACCACCACCTGGGGACCGTGACTCTCCCCCGCGCGCAGAGGCTAGCCATCACCGGGCGAAAGGCCATTTTTACGCGCGGAGAGCAAAGATCAGCGTCCCCATTGCCCCGAAGTTGGGTGAGAGTCTTCCTCTCAGGCGCTGCCCCCCGACCCCGGTTTCCGAGCACCCCCCCCCCCCCGGGGCCGCACTGACCAGCCGCCTGAAGAGCCTCTGGAGCTGCGCCGCGTCCTCCCGGAGCCTCCCGGCCACGCGGCTGCGGGTCCGCGCCGAGCGGCAGCGCAGGCGCCCGCGGAGCAGCGGCCGCACGTACTGGACCAGCGCCCGCCGGTGCAGCTCGGCCACCAGCGTCTGGGGACCCGAGGGACGCGAGGGGTGAGCCGCCGGGGGCCCCGCTCCCCACCCGCCCGCGCCCACGAAGGCGCCCAGCGGGGGCCTTCCCCCACGCCGGCACCCAAGGGGTGACCCCCCTCCCCCTCCCTCCCCCCGCCCCCTCCCTGCCCCCCCTCCGGCCTCCTAGTGAGCCCGCGGACACCCCCTGCCGGCGTCCCAAAGGTGCCCCATCCCCGACCTTTCCCCAGTCTCCGGAGCTCCACCTCCAGGGGCCCCCGACCCAGTCTGTACCCGGCCCTACACCCCAGCACCCGCGGGCACGCCTCCCCCAGACCCGGGGCAGAGTGCCACCTATCTCCCCCGAGAGAGCTGCTCCGCACGTTGAAGGGGTCTCCCCCAGGGGAGCGCTCTTGCTCCCCCCAGCCCCAACCCCCACGCCTCCACCCCCCAAGGAGGCGCACCTGGTAGGGCTCGTCCTGCATCCTGCGTAGTGCCAGGGCCTGAGCGCCCAGCGTGCCCACGATGCCATCCAGGGCCTCCGAGCTGCTCAGCCACTTCCGGCGCATCAGCTTGTTGAAGTGGGGCTGGGGGGGGCAGAGAAGGGGGAACGCATAGCTGTCTTCCCTTCCACCCTCTTTCTTCACTTACCAATTCAACATAGGTTCCCGAAACCCTGCTCCCAGCTGAACCAGAGCTCCATGGCGCTGGGTACACAGCCGTGATGGAGACAGCCCGACCCTGCCCACCTGGGGCTCATAGTCCGGAAGGGGAGACAGACCAGAGCCCAGGCAGGGACCACCCAGAGTGGACAGGGCTGGAGGATGGAGCCCAGGGACTTAGTGAGCCCAGAGGGGAGGCCTGGGTCAGCACAGAGAATCAAGGAGGGCTTCCTGGAGGAGGGGGTGCCAGAGCTGAGGCCCCATGCTGGTCATTGTTAACCAGGTGAGGGGTGGGAGAGGGAGCGACTCATTGGGAGGGAAGAGCCAGTGTGAAGAAGGTTTAGATTTCAGATGGGCCTGCCCATCAGAGGACCAGAAAGAAGGTCAGCGTGGCTGGCAAAACCCCCTCTATAATCCTCAGGGCCCAGGGCAAATGAAAAGGAGGACCCTCATCCAAAAATTGTTAAGAACTTCAAGACAGAGAGAGCATTAAACCAAGCTGGGGCCCTTCTAAGCAAGGGGGCCCTGTGTGACAGCCCAGTGGAGAGATGGGGCTGGTTGGGTGGGGGCAGCAGAGCACACAGGGCCTCCTGGGCAGTGTGAGGAGCCCCTGCTTTCTCCTGAGGGCACTGGGGAGCCATGGCAGACTCTGAGCAGGGGAGGGAGAGGGTCAGCTTTGTGCTTTATGGAGATGGATGGGAGAGGACGAGACTAAGGCAGAAATTAGGGGGGAAAGGGGTTGAGCAGAGAGAAAGGAGAATGCAGGCGGTAGAATTCGGAGGATGCAGTGAGGGAGCACTGTGGGGTGGCGTCTGGCTCCAGGTGTGTCGCTGTTGCCATAAACTCTGTGTATCTGTGACGATAAGGATGCCCAATACCCGCCACCAGGACCCCAGCAAAGCCCCTGACGGCCACAGTCCCATTGCTGCCAGAGACGCCTGGAATTCCTGAGCCCACCTTCCAGATGAGTAAACAGAGACCCCGCGAGGACAAGCAACTTGTCCGGGGTCCCCCTACCTGGAAGCGGTGCAGCCAGGCCTGGAACAAAGACTGTACCCCGTCCCCTGCACCCCCCTACTCCCCCCCCAACTCAGCCACTTGTATTCACATACTTGTGCATTTAGTCACTCAACAAACACTCTCTGAGCCCAGCCCTGGGGGGTTACTAGGGACGTGTCGGAGAACGCTTGGGGACACGGGAAAATGAGATAAACAAACTCCAAGCGCCTGATAATCGTAAGCAGGTTGGGGGACTCTGAATACTCATCTGATACTTGATGATATTTGGAATTTCTGTTCCATTTGTCAGGTATGCAGATGGCACTGCGGTCATGTTTGTTTAAAAAGGACTCCTTATCTTTGGGGATACAGGCTGAAGTGTTGATGGATGATGTCAGGATGTCAAGGATCTGCTTTCAAAGAACCCCGTGGGGGCAGAGAGGGAGGTGAAACTAGATTGGCCAGGAGTTGATATTTGCTGGAACTGGTCCCCGAGAGGTCATTCTGTCATTCTGCCTACTTTTGTGTTTGTTTGAAATTTTCCATAACAAAAAGTTATTTTAGAAACATTCCAGCAGATCCTTGTCCTTGAGGAGCTAACACTCTAGTGGGAGGAGATGATTTAAAAAAAAAAAAGAAAAGAAAGAAAGGCCATAGCATGGCAGGTGGCTGTAAGTGCTTTGGAGACAAAGAGAGCAGGGACTGGGGAAGGGGGCTTCTGTTTTAAATGGGGCAGGCAGGGAAGGTCTCACTGAGATGGTGACATTGGAGTCAGGACTTGAGAGAGGTGACAGAGGGAGCTGTGTGGCCATTGCAGAGAAGAGCAATGCGGGCAGCTGGAATAGCAGGTGCAAAGGTCCTGGGGCTGGACTGTGCCTGTCGCATTGAGGAAGAGTGAGGGGGCGGTGTGGCTGGAGTGGAGCAGCAAGGGGGATAGTGGGAGGAGATGAGTCAGAGAGAGAAGGGGCCAGTGATGTGCAGGGCCCTGGGGGCCACAGCAAGGACTTTGGCTCTTGCTACATGGAAGCTGGGAGCCATGGAGAGTTCTGAGCAGAGGAGGGACACAATCTGGTGCACAAGGTGGGTTGGGCAAGTATTACAACCAGGGACACGCATACCTCTGGGTCTCATTCCCCAGTACTCCCACCGCCCTCCCCACATGCTCTCACCCACCTCTGAACCCAGCCCGCTCCGGGCATGCACAGGAGCCCAGAGACGATGACTGGGGCTCTAGGGTCTAGGCAAGGCTGGATAGGGACTTGGGGGACCTCACTGGGGGGGCTCCACCCCATCCCCAGGCCCCCTCCTGCTGGTGGCTCTCTGTCCTCCCCCCCCCCCGCCCTATCCCCCCCCCTCTTCCTTCCTGCACCCCCTTCTGCCCCCCTAGACATGACCATCACCCCCACCCCGTCTGCTTCCCAAACACTGAGTCACAGGCTGAAAGGAACTGTGGGACGGGGGGCACTCCCCTGTCCCCTGTCCCGGCACGGGCTCCACCCCAGCCCCTGCCTCACTCACCTGCAGCTCCTGGAACAGCAGGTCAGCCAGGACGCGGTGGCAGAGTCGGGTCACTCGGTCCAGAGCGCTGGCCGCTGCTTCCCGGGCTGGCTCACTTTCGGGGGGCCCCACCCGGGCCAGGCGCTCCGCCAGGGCCCTGTGGGGATCAGCGGAACCAAAAGTCAAGGAGCCTCGACGTTGAGCCCAACCGCCTGGACCTGGCTGAGTGCACATAGTTAAACATATTTGAATTCGTATCTTGAATTTTGAATTATGTGAATTATGCATAACCAATTTGCAAAATGCATCAAAAATCAGTTAATAAAAAAGGAAAGTAAGATAAGATAGAAAACAATCTGTAACTCAGCATGTTTGAGGCTGGCTGCTCGGTTCCTATAATTCTAACACTGCGATGTTCTGATTGTTCGATTCTGGTGCTCTGAGATGCTAGGGTCTTTCCAGGACTCCCAGGTTTTATGCTTCTATGGTCCCGTGGACACGCCTCTCGGGGCCAGCTCTGTGGGCTCCCAGGATCCGAGCACCCCAGGTCAGCTTGTCCCCCGGGACTGGCCCTCTCACCTCAAGGGGGGCCCGCAATTGACCAGTGAGATGGTCCTGCTGACATAGGTGTCCGGTGGCAGCTCCCGGACTCCTGGATTCTCGTGGAATCGCTCCGCGCGCTGCTGGAAGCTGGTGGGAGGGGATGCGGAGGGCATGACAGATGGAGCCACGCTGGGTAAGGGTCCCTTGCCCCGCGCTCAGCCCAGCGAAGCCTGTGACCCCCACTGAGGCCCCCCCGTGTCTCTCTTGACTTGATTGCTTTTCATCTCTGCTCTCTCTGTTGGATCCCCCATCCTGATGCCCAGCCCCCTTCCCGCACACCCTGCCCCCAGCCCTCCTACCTCTGCAGGAACTCTGCCAGCCCCCCCAGGCAGCAGTGGGCCATCCGCTCCCCAAACTCCTGGCTGATGCGGGGTGCTTGGTCCGTGTGCTCTTCCAGCAGCTGCACGGTCAGGGGTGGGGGCAAGAGGGGGTGAGGAGGGGTGAGGTCCCACTTTCCCACCCCCGCATTGTCCGGCTGATCCCCGCCTCTTCCCCACCCCCTACCTCACACACATCCTGGGCCAGGCTGCTGGGCTGGTCCTCGGGGCTCCCCCAGTGTTCCTCATCCTCCTGCAGCACGCGAAGCAGGGCTGCCCGCGTCTGAGCCTGGAGTGGGGAGTCGGGGGAGAGGCAGGAGTCGGGGGCCACCTGGGAGCCTTTCTCCCTGTTTCTCCCACCATGATCCCCGCTTCTGAGCCCCAAGCAGGTCTGGCTTCTATCCGTGAGCTCGTCAAGGTTACGCTGGGGAGGGAGGATGGACTGGAAAACCACCCCAGCCCTTTCCATTCCTAAGTCTACGACTCGAAGCTTCATATTGAGTCTGTGGTTTTCAGCATCCTTCATCTAATAGCCAGAGTGTTTAAGCATCTATTCTCTCATTACTGATGTTCCTAAGACTCTGCTCTCAGGTTCTGCAAACAATTGGTTCAAGGCTGTCAGATTCTGGGATTCAAGACTTCCCAGGACCTGGGATGCTAAGGTTTACCCATCTCTGATTCTCTGGTCCAAAACTGTCTCCAATTCAGTGAGTCTGAGAATCGAGACATGTTCGATTCTCAGATTCCAGGCTCTCAAGTTGCAAAGATTCTGATTTCTGTGGCGGGGGCAGGACTGGGGTTCAGGCAGGAAAGGCGCCTGTGGCCAGGCTGGTGTCAACGGCCGGGCCATCCTGCTCTGTGATGCCTGTGCCCGGCCGGTTAACCATCAGCCCTGCTTATACGCAGAGACGCCATGAGGCCCTCCATCTGTGAGTCTGCAGGTCTGTGAGCTGGGGTTCTGTGACTGACTCTCTTGCTCTAAGAGTTGAAGTGTCTGAATGTACCGAACCTTCTGGAGGGTTTCCACGCCCCCCTGGGTGCTTGAGCTCCAACACCAACCATAAGGCAGAAGGGAGCAGCATGGGCTTCCATGTCTGTCTTTTGGACAGAACTCAGAAGTCCACAAGGGAAAAAGGGAGATGGAAATAGCAAAAGGCGGAGGGGAGAGGCCCCCAAACTCAGCATGTCCCCCCACTCCCTGCAGAATGCCTCCCGCTCCCTAATCCCCAATGCCAAGTGCCAGGTACCTTAACATCGGTGACGCATTCATCCTCCAAGCCCCGCAGGGTGCCAGGGGACAGAAGGGGCCCCAGCTCCCCGTTCTCCAGGGCGACCACGTCCACCAACCCTAGGACCTCTCTGGGGGGTGGGGGGTGAGAGACAGGGAGGTCTGTGAGAGGTGAGGCTGGGCCATCAGACCCCTCCCCAATCCCCTCCCCATCCCTTCACCCCCGCTGCTGCTGTGTTTGTGACCATGGACCACTCCCTTCCTCTCTAGGGACCAGCTTTGCTCATCCCTCAAAGGAAGTGTCTGAAATTGTCACTCCCCTGGCTCCAGCTCTCTGAGTCAGCTCCCTGATGGATGATGTCTGGGCAAGACTTCCAGGGGTCAAGTCCAGGCTCGAGGATCGGCACGCAGGGTCTCACCTACGATCGGCTGCCCCAGACAGAAGCTTTCTTCCACCTCTGCTCTTTGTCCCTACCGCCTCACCTGGCCTTGGAGGCTGCCCCAGTCCAGCCCTCGCTCCCTGCTTCTACACTCTTGCATGCCCTGGCCTGTACAGTACCATCACCCCATACACACTCCTCCCCATCCAGGCTTTTGCTCTCGGTGCTTCTCAGGCAGAAGCACCATCTCCCTACAGATCGGACTTAACTCATGTCCCACCATGCCAGGAAGCTCTCCAGACTCCCTACCCCACCTCCGTCTCTCATGGATGGGGTGACAGTGTTATTAACATGTATTCCCAAATAGGATGGGGGGAGCAATGTTGGTAGCCACTTCCCTCTCTTTCCTCTGCTGACAGCATCCTGATTTTGTTTGAGGAACCACCCATCCCCTGCGTTCTCCAACATGTGGTTTGAGGATGGCCAGCTCCGTTTTCCCGGGCGTGGAGAGGTGACCCAGTCATGGCTAGTCACCATATTCCATCCCCTGGCCACAAGATGCGTATGTGTTAGGTTTCAAAGGCTTGAAAGTTATAAGATTCTAAGACTGGGAGGGTCAAGGGCGTTGAGGTTCTAGAAGCTAAGAGTACAGAACTCAGGGGCCAACAGTGCTACAGTCCTCAAACTGGATGGGTCAACAGGGTCATGGTTCTAGGATCCAAAGAAGGGATGAGGCTAAGGTTTAGGATGCGAAGGCTCATTGGCACTAAGAGTCTAAGATTGAAAGCGTCATCAGTTCTAAAGCTATAAGATTGGAAGAGTCAAAAGTGCTAATGTCCTGGGATCTAGAGAGAACGTGTGAAGGTTCTAGAATTCTAAGGACCAAGATTTTAGGAGGAGAAGGGTCAGCGGGGCTAAAGGTTCTAGGACCAGAAGGATCAACGATGCTAAGATTCTAGAACTGGAAGGGTGGGCGGTGTTAAGAGTCCCAGACTGTGAGGGTGGACCATTCTAAGATTCTTGGACCGGGATGGGGCTGAGGTTCTAGGACTGGACAGACCAGTGATGCTGAGATATTGGGACTGGAAAGATGGACGGTGCTAAGGATCCAGGACTGGAAGGGTCCACGGTGCCGAGGTTTTAGAACTGGAAGGATCAGCATGGCTAAAGTTCTAGCACAAGAAAAGTGGACAGCACTATGGTGGCCCAGGGTTTCCCGGGTTCGGATCCTGGGTGCGGACATGGCACCGCTCATCAGGTCATGCTGAGGCGGAGTCCCACACGCCACAACTAGAAGGACCCACAACTAAAAATACACAACTATGTACTGGGGGGCTTTGGGGAGAAAAAGAAAAAAGATTCTAGGATTGTAAATGTTACTGGTGCTGAGGACCGGACAAGTCAATGGTGTGAAGGTTCTAGAATTGAAGGGTTGGCTGTTCCAAGGTCCTTGAGGGAAGGGGCAGGGCCCTACGCGACCTTGGGGCAGCGGGTCCCCAGGCTGCGCGGCCTGCACGGGCCCCAGCTCACCTGGGGTACACCTGGTTGTGCCAGTGCAGCAGCGCGTAGCGGTCGGCCAGCGGGAGCCTCCGGCGGGCGGCCACCGCGAGCCACTCGGCCAGGGCGCCGTGGTAGCCGCGCAGGTAGACGCTGAAGGCGCCCAGGCCGGCGGGGTAGGCGGGCGCCAGGCGGCCCCGCACGACGCCCATGTCCTCCAGCAGCCGCGCCCGCAGCGCCTCCAGCTGCCCGGCCAGGCCCCCGGGCGCCCCGGGCGCCGCCGCCTCCAGGCGCTCCCTCGCCGCGCGCGCCACCGCCTCGGCCCAGCGGGCGCGCAGCTTGCGGGCCGCCCCGGGGCCCCGGCGCCCGTCGGCCGCCTCCTCCTGCACCAGCACCTGGCCCAGCTGCGCCACGGCGCCCGCCCCGGCGCCCGCGCCCGGCCCGGGGCCCGCCAGCGTCTCGCGCACCAGCGCCCACAGCTCGCGCTGCAGGGCCTCGTACAGCAGCGCCACGTCCCGCGCCCGGCGGCCCCCGGCCGCGCCCTCGGCCTTGGGCGGCCCCGGCACGCCGCACCCCGACGACGCCAGCTCCTCGGCCTCCAGCTCCAAGATGTGCTCGTCGGCCCGCGCGAGCTCGCGCTGCTGGATCAGGCTCAGGATCTCCAGCACTGTGGGGGCAGACGGGGAGGGCACAGGGTGGGTGGTTACGGGAAGGGGTAGAGGGGAGGGGAAGAGGGATGGGGAGGGGGAGGGGGAGAGGAGTCAGGGGCAGTTCGGGAGAAGGGTGTCCGATGAGGCATGAGGGGGCAGAGCAGGGAAGGGAAGGGAAGGGAAGGGAAGGGGGGCGGAGAGCGGGGGTGGAGGAGGAGGAGAGTGGAGAGAGGAGGAAGGCAAGGGTGGGGGAGGGCAAGCAAAGAAAGAGGGGCAGGAGCAGGGCTAGGGGAGGGGAGGATGGGGTGAAAGGGGATGGAGAAAGGGGCAAGGGAGAGGACCAGGCCGTGGGAGAGCAGACCAGAGAGGTTAGGGAAGGGAAAAGGGGGTTTTGGCATGGGAGAGGGAGTCTGGGTGCAGGAAGGAGGTCAAAGGACTAGAGCGTGTCCCATGAGGAAGAGGATGGAGGGGGGGAGTCAGAGGAAGCGGGAAGTAAGGGCTTGAGGAGGAACGGAGAGCATTAGGGCTCAGGGTCAGGGGTCAGGGCCTGGAAGAAGGTATCAAGGAATGGTGTGGGACACGGGGAGGAGTCAGGCGAGACCAGGGGTTAGGACAGGAGAAGTGCATCAGGGCCAGAGAAAGGGAGCAGAGGAGCAGAGGGATGGGGGAGCCAGTGGGCCAGGTAAGGGGGAGAGGAATGGAGGGCACCAGTGGACCGTGGGCAGGATGGAGGTGGGGAGAGGATAGTAAGACCAGCGAAGGGGTCTTTTGGGGGTGGGCAGCCGTGGGGTGATCTGACACGCTGAGTTCAGACTCCTCCAAGAGAGAGGAGCCGTGGGGTTGGGAGGCCTCTGAGTGAAGGCAGAGGGAGGGTCCCAGTGGCCCAGGGTTACCCCGACACCTCCACCCCCCTGCACTTCCTCCCTGGCAGAGAAACTATTTCCTGGCCAGCGCTATTTCTGCCCATCCGTTTCCAGAAGGCGGGGGCTCCAGTCACCCCCTCCTCACCTCCCTGCAGTGCCCTCCCAGTCCCCAGGGAGCCGGGGCTGAAATAGCCTCAGGCCAGGATGTGGAGGGCACAGGAGGATGAAGAAGGCGCTCTCCTGACATCCCCAAAGCTGGGGCAGCATGGACTGGCGGGGGGGGGGGGGGGGGGGGGGGGGGGGGGAAGGGTTAGGAGCAGGAATGGGGGATGGGGGAGCCAGAGACAGGGTTGAG